GCGCCGCAACCTCAGAGTCATCCGCGACTGGACCTAATGGTCAGGGGTCCCTTTACCTTTACCTCTAGCCGAAAGTCTGCACAGAATGTACAAGGAATTTTATATGCTCGTTTGGGGCTACCACCGACAAGCCCCTGCTGTCACCTTCAGCTGGAAGCTTGCTTTCAAAACCAATGAGCATGGGCAAAGGGCTCCTTTGCTCGACCCTTCTCCCAGGCCCTGAAAGCGAGGGTGTGAAGCACAAGGCACAACAACGTGGCTCTCGGAGCACCGCCCACATCGCTGGGATGACGTCTGTATCCGAGAGAGGGGGTGACAACATTCCTACCCTGCTCCAGTTGGCAGTGGGAGGGTAAACCGGTTAAACGCCTTGTACCCTAAGCCAATGGAGGCGTATTGACAGGAGCCAGATGGCATCAGCTCTGCCAACTCACCACGAATCAGGGGGCAGATATTAAGGGGGTCACAATGCCCCCCACCCAAAAAGATTGTGTCCCAGCTGGAGATTCCACTCCATCTTAAGGGGTTGGCTGGAACAGGCCAAAGGGGGCCCATCTAGTCCAGTATCCTGTTCCCACAGTGGCCAAATGCCCCTAAGAACCTAGGAATCAAGATAGACTGCCCCTAGAACTGGAGGTTCCATAAGAAGAGCACTGCAGCTGGGTGGTCCCATGGTCCAGCGTCCCGTCCCCTCAGCAGCCAAGCAGATGCTCCTAAGGCAGTGGTTCTCAACCTGTGGGTCCCCAGATGTTGTTGGACTACAACTCCCATCACCCCAGCTAGCAAGGTCAGAGCTCAGGGATGATGGGAGTTGTAGTCCAACAACGCCTGGAGACCCACCGGTTGAGAACCGCTGCCCTAAGGGAAGTCCTCAAACAGGACTTTCAACCAGTGTTCAAAATTAGCCAGGCACATTTTGCACCTTACTATCAGCCAAGTGACGGGACGCGGGTGGCGCTGTGGGTTAAACCGCAGAGCCTAGGACTTGCTGATCAGAAGGTCGGCGGTTCGAATCCCCGCGACCGGGTGAGCTCCCTTTGCTCGGTCCCAGCTCCTGCCAACCTCGCAGTTCGAAAGCACGTCAAAATGCAAGTAGATATATAGGTACCGCTCCAGCGGGAAGGTAAATGGTGTTTCCGTGCGCTGCTCTGGTTCGCCAGAAGTGGCTTAGTCATGCTGGCCACATGACCCGGAAGCTGTACGCCGACTCCCTTGGCCAATAAAGCAAGATGAGCGCCGCAACCCAGAGTCGGCCATGGCTGGACCTAATGGTCAGGGGTCTCTTTACCTTTTTATCTGCCAAGTGAAGTTGCCTGGGTGCCACAATGGCGTCTGACATCTCCCCCATCTAGGGATCCCTGGATCTGGACTGTTTTCAAACACCAATGCCCCCTCCTGTAGAATTCTCTCCAATATATTTTATCTGCACAATCGGAATGAATTTCAGCAACCAAAATGCTTTTTCTGTGCAGCCTGAGAAAGGAGCAGTGAACAGCATTATAGTGAATTGTTGTCACTTGTCTTTAGTTCCCCCACTGCCCTGCTCAGAGTTGGGAAGAATATTCCTATGTTATGAATGGACTGAGTCACCATTACGAAAAAGAGGTTGGAATAGGCTGATAGATATGCAAGAGTCCCATGGACTGCAAGAAGATCAAACCTCTCCATTCGGAAGGAAATCAGCCCTGAGTGCTCACTGGAAGGACAGATCCTGAAGCTGAGGCTCCAAGACTTTGGCCACCTCAGGAGAAGAGAAGACTCCCTGGAAAAGACCCTGATGTTGGGAAAGAGAGAAGGAGGACGACAGAGGACGAGATGGCTGGACCGTGTTCTCGAAGCTACAAACATGAGTCTGACCAAACTGCGGGAGGCAGTGGATGACAGGAGTGCCTGGCGTGCTCTGGTCCAGGGGGTCACGAAGAGGCGGACACGACTCAACGACTAAACAACAACAATATGCGGACTGTCTTTGGATCAAGTGACTTTTCTTCTTTTAAGTTCTCAAAGTTCTTAACCTGGCCCAAGGTTGTCCTCTGAACTAGCCAGATCTTGAACTGAGAATCCATCACAGTCAGTCCATCATTTGGAAAATAAGACTTTAGAGCCATCTTGCCCCAAAAGGTGAAACTAGGCATTGTGTTTTGGCAAAGGCAACCTTGTTTTAAGCCTTAAGGAGCCTTGTTTGTTTGTTCATCTGAGTTTCTAACACTGCTTTCAACCCAAACAAGTTCATATAGTTTTAGCAAACTGTGGCACGTTAAGCCTGCTGCTGTTACACCTAGGTAAAGGTAAAGGGACCCCTGACCATTAGGTCCAGTCGTGACCGACTCTGGGGTTGTGGCGCTCATCTCGCTTTACTGGCCGAGGGAGGCGGAGTACAGCTTCCGGGTCACGTGGCCAGCATGACTAAGCCGCTTCTGGCGAACCAGAGCAGCGCACGGAAACGCTGTTTACCTTCCCGCCGGAGCGGTACCTATTTATCTACTTGCACTTTGACATGCTTTTGAACTGCTAGGTTGGCAGGAGCAGGGACCGAGCAACGGGAGCTCACCCCGTCATTGCAGGGATTCAAACCACTGACCTTCTGATCAGCAAGCCCTAGGCTCTGCTGTTACACCTAGTTTGATCCAAAGTCCTCTGGAAAAGGGGTGGGTTGACTGGGGCACAGAGTGAGCACCAAGTTCAGCAACTCTCTCCCATCTTCCATCCCTCACCCATAAACAGAAGTCCTGCAAGACAGGTGCAAACACGGAAAATAAACATAATTTAGCAACTCTAAAACTTTGGGATATGGCCGGTCGAAAAAGGTAAATGTTCACCCCTAAATACTGACAGGTCTCCCATTGGGCTGCCCTGCACTCTGTATTTAAATGCATCGGATTCCAACCCTACTCACCAAAATCTGAACCCCACAAAGATATCTCTAAACGATGCCCACTGTAAGCATTTTTTGTACTTGCCAAAATACACACAACTTATTCCATTTCTGCCAGCCTCCATGAATTATGGCACTGGAGCTCCACTCAATTGTGAGTCGCCCTGTTCCCACCAACCAATGCCAGCACTACGTGGCTTCAAGCGCCATGGCTGCCTTGAGGTCTAGAAACTTGGGGTGTTTGGTATTAAAAAAAAAAGTGGGGGAGGGTAAGGAAAACTGGGAGAGTTAAAATTCTCCAGGGTGTGATTTCTCTTCTCAAGGCCAATTATTGTGGTTTCACAAATGTCGGCGCATCACCCTAGCTGCAATATTTATGTACAATGGTACCTTGGGTTACATACGCTTCACGTTACATATGCTTCAGGTTACAGACTCCACTAACCCAGAAATATTGCTTCAGGTTAAGAACTTTGCTTCAGGATGAGAACAAAAATTGTGCTCCTGCGGCGTGGCAGCAGCAGGAGGTCCCATTAGCTAAAGTGGTGCTTCAGGTTAAGAACAGTTTCAGGTTAAGTACGGACCTCCGGAACAAATTAAGTACTTAACCTGAGGTACCACTGTACTGCTTTTAAACATATAAATCTGGGTTTGTCTGCGGCCTTTTGGGAGGAGGGTGTTGCAACATGGCTGCCAAAGACACCATTCCTCTTGGGGGGCTGTGACAGGCCAAAGCCACACTTCCCCGCAAAGCCTTTGCTGTGCCCATTTTGCAGAATCACAGAATTGCAAAGCATCTCAGGTGATAGGAAGCCTCTTTGAATTGGGGGAGAGAGATCACAGAACAGGTTAAATCTCTGGTAGCATATCCAGGCGGGACGCGGGTGGCGCTGTGGGTTAAACCACAGAGCCTAGGACTTGCCGATCAGAAGGTCGGCAGTTCGAATCCCCGCAACGATGGGGTGAGCTCCCGTTGCTCGGTCCCTGCTCCTGCCAACCTAGCAGTTCAAAAGCACATCAAAGTGCAAGTAGATAAATAGGTACCACTCCGGCGGGAAGGTAAACAGCATTTCCATGCGCTGCTCTGGTTCGCCAGAAGCGGCTTAGACATGCTGGCCACATGACCCGGAAGCTGTACGCCGACTCCCTCGGCCAGTAAAGCGAGTTGAGCGCCGCAACCCCAGAGTCGGCCACAACTGGACCTAATGGTCGGGGCTCCCTTTACCTTTAGCATATCCAGGTAGGGCCAGAGACCCCAGCGGGACACTGCCGGTCAGTGTGGACAGTGATGAGCTTAGATGGAACAGCAGAAGGCCGCTTTCTGTTTAATTCAGTCTATGAGGACTAGAATCTTGATCTGTTTTTAAGCGAAGGGCAGAGCTCTGGGGTAGGCCATCAGCTTTGCATGAAGTGGGTTTCAGATCCAATCTTGGGGGGAGGGGGAACCCCCGTCTGAAATCCTAGACAGCCACTGCTGCCAGCCAGTGTAGACAGTACTGGAACGTGCGTTTGTATATGGCAGCCGGGAAGTTCCTCTGCCTGAAGCCCCGGAGGGCAGCTGCCAGTCAGTGCAGCAACACTGAGCCAAGATGCACAAGGGCCTGACTCCGCAAAAACACACAGAGATTGAGCCCAGCGTCCATCCCAGGCCCTCCTGCACGCATCCTGACCTTGCTTGGCTATTGCCCTTTCCAATGCATGCGTTGGAAGCTGGGGGGGGGTAATTCCCTCCTCCCTCCCCCCTTAATGGATCCCCGGGCAGCTGCAGCAACCTCCTGCTGAAATGGCAACGCACCTAATTATTCTTATTTTTAGCAAGAACCGCGCGCAACCCGCAGAGGACAACCTTCCCGGTGCCTCCGGTGCCACCGAACCGACATGCAAACAAGCCCTTGTCGTTGCTGCTATGCTTACAACTTGGCTCGCCTGCAAAGCTCCTTAAAGCTTGGCAAATCCTGGCTGATCTCTTCGGCTGCTTTCTCCCAGGCTCCTTGGCCATTTCCCTTTGCACAGACCTCCCTATTGCTACCTCCCCGCGCCTCCATTTCCCTTCCCTGGAAACGCATTCCTCAAAGGACTGGTGCGAAAAAATATAAACGCATATATGAAATCAGAGCATCCTCACCTCATTTATCCGCAAGGACCAGTCAGGCTCCGCGAGACGGCAAAAGATGGTTAAGAGAAGGAAGGGAGGAAGGAGGAGGAAGGAAGGAGCAGGCTCAATATGTCTGGGAACCGCATGCAACCTTCCCCTTACCCCACCCCAAACCAACCCCCTTTCTGCTGCTGCTGCTGTGATTCTGTCCAGCTGACACCCCCCCCCCCGATGAGAGCTATAGGGATTTCAAGCCCAAGGTTTCTCCCTGCCTTCAGAAATTCACCTCTGCAAACGGGGAGGAGGAGGGGGAAGAGGAGAGTTAAGCCTTTGCCTGCACATCAAATCCCTCCTTGTGGGAGGAGGGTCTGGGGCACATGACGGACAGGTGGAGGAGGAGGAGGAGGAAAAGCAGCGGGGGGAGGAAGAGGAGGAGGTTTATAGGACAACCCCCCCCCCCAGCAGGTCAGCAGGTGCGCTGGCGGGAGTAAGGCTGAGCAGAGGTGTCAAAATCATCTTTCCCCCAGTTTAAAGCTGTTCATTTTGGGTTGTTGTTTTTTAAAAAAAGGCCTGCATGAAAATTCTCATCAACATTGCACATGCAATTGCAATTCAATGCACACATTTTATTTTTAGAAATTTTTATTGATTATTTTCACATAACACATTATTTCAGCAATTGCATCCCCCCCCGTTTTCCCCCTCCTCCCTACGACTTCCCTCAGTTCCTCTCTCTTATTTATTAACACATAGTGTTCTCTGCATATTATAAAAATGGAAAGATCTCTAAATTATCCATCTATTACGTTAACAAATAAATGTGTGTATGTTTATTCAAAACCTGCCAAGGAGTCCAATTCATTTTGTTGTTTCTTTAAGTGCTTTGTAAAGGGTTCCCATTCTTCTTTAAAGTCACAGTTGTCCTTGTCACGTAATTTATGCGTCAATTTTGCCAGTTCCACATAGTCCATCAATTTTTCTTGCCGCTGTTCTTTCGTCGGGGTTTCTTCATTCTTCCAACCTTGCGCTATTAAGACTCTTGCTGCCGGCGTCGCATGTTGTTGTTGTTTAGTCGTTTAGTCATGTCCGCCTCTTTGTGACCCCCTGGACCAGAGCACGCCAGGCGCTTCTGTCTTCCACTGCCTCCCGCAGTTTGCTCAAACTCATGCTGGTGGCTTCAAGAACACTGTCCCACCATCTCATCCTCTGTCGTCCCCTTCTCCTTGTGCCCTCCATCTTCCCCAACATCTGGGTCTTTTCCAGGGAGTCTTCTCTTCTCATGAGGTGGCCAAAGTCTTGGAGCCTCAGCTTCACGATCTGTCCTACTAGTGAGCACTCAGGGCTGATTTCCTTATGAATGGAGAGGTTTGTTCTTCTTGCAGTCCATGGGACTCTCCAGAGTCTCCTCCAGCACCATAATCCAAAAGCATCAATTCTTCGGCGATCAGCCTTCTTTATGGTCCAGCTCTCACTTCCATACATTACTACTGGGAAAACCATGGCTTTAAGTATACGGACCTTTGTTGGCAAGGTGATGTCTCTGCTTTTTAAGATACTGTCTAGGTTTGCCATCGCTTTTCTCCCAAGGAGCAGGCGTCTTTTAATTTCGTGGCTGCTGTCACCATCTGCAGTGATCATGGAGCCCAAGATGTCGGTGTCGCATGCATAAATATATTCTTCCTTTTCCTTGGCAGGTCTTTCCCTACAATCCCTAACAAAAATGCTTCAGGCCTTTTTACAAATGTTAATTGGAACATTTTCTTCAACTCATTATATATCATTTCCCATTTTTTTAAAATTTCTCTACAATCCCACCACATGTGATAAAAGTCCCTTCTTTTTCCTTACATTTCCAACATATATTTGTGCCGGTTTTATACATTCTTGCTATCTGTACTTTAAATTATTAATGCACACATTTTTAATACAGAACAGTTCCCCCTCCCTTAAACAAGATGCAATTTCTCCATATCATTTTCACGAATATATGGGAATATTATTCTTATTATTGCAAACATTCCCCCTTCCCCAAACAACCCACACTATGCGAAATCACTAATTGGGCTATAGAGCTGCATTTGCAAAATCTGAGAAGCTTTTCAGCTTTGATGGAATGCATCATAAGAACTATAGAGTTGGGAGGGACCCCTGAGGGTCATCTAGCTCGACCCCCAGCAAGGCCAGGAGGGGGCTCAAACACCGGACCCTGAGGTCAGGCCAAAAGGGGCCCATTGAGCCCAGCATCCTGTTCTCACAGTGGCCAAATATCCCTAAGAACATAATAATCTAGGTAGACTGCCTCTGGACCTGGAGGTTCCATACACACATAAGGATTAGGCCAAAGGGGGCCTATCTATAAGAAACAAAGGGCAAATATTATAGTAAACAATATCACCTCAGAAAACTGTAATATCATGAAAGGAACAAGACAGGGGTGTCCGCTCTCCCCGTTATTTATTCTTACTTTATAAATCTTATTGCAAAATATAAGAAAACAATGATAAAATTAGGGGAATTAGAGTGGGCAGACAAAACTATAAACTAAAGTGCTCACAGTGGTACCTCGGGTTACATACGCTTCAGGTTACATATGCTTCAGGCTACAGACTCCGTTAACCCAGAAATAGTGCTTCAGGTTAAGAACTTTGCTTCAGGATGAGAACAGAAATCGTGCTCCGGCGGCGCGGCGGCAGCAGCAGCGGGAGGCCCCATTAGCTAAAGTGGTGCTTCAGGTTAAGAACACTTTCAGATTAAGTACGGATCTCCGGAACGAATTAAGTACTTAAACCCGAGGTACCATTGTAGTCTTAAACTTTGGAACAGTATATACACAAAGTATCAAATGTGGTCTTTGTCCATGGAGTTTTCTTGGCAGGGATACTGGAGTGGCTTGCCGGTTCCTGCTCCAGATGGATCACGTTTGGTCAAAACTCTCCACTTTGACCTGTCCATCTTGGGTGCCCTGCTCGGCATAGTTCATAGCTTCTCTGAGTTATTCAAGCCCCTTTGCCACGACAAGGCAGTGCTGGAGGAGACTCTTGAGAGTCCCATGGACTGCAAGAAGATCAAACCTCTTCATTCTCAAGGAAATCAGCCCTGAGTGCTCACTGGAAGGACAGATCGTGAAGCTGAGGCTCCAAGACTTTGGCCACCTCATGAGAAGAGAAGACTCCCTGGAAAAGACCCTGATGTTGGGAAAGATGGAGGGCACAAGGAGAAGGGGACGACAGAGGACGAGATGGTGGGACAGTGTTCTCGAAGCTACAAACATGAGTGTGACCAAACTGCGGGAGGCAGTGGAAGACAGGAGGGCCTGGCATGCTCTGGTCCAGGGGGTCACGAAGAGGCGGACACGACTAAACGGCAACAATCATCTACAATACTGTCTTATTTATTTTATATTACAGTTATTGCTTTCATTTTATGGATCAATGGTCTTGTTAGATAGTAAAATTCATGTTAGATTGCTGTTTTAGGGGTTGTTTTTAAGAGTCTGGAATGGATTAATCCATTTTGCATTACTTTCTATGGGAGAACAAGCCTTGGTTTTGGAACGCTTTGGTTTTGGAACGGACCTCCGGAGCAGATTAAGTTTGAGAACCAAGGTAGCACTGTAATCTTTTAACCCAGCTAAAATGGGGAAGCTTTAGACTTTCTGTCACTTTTTTTAACCCTCCCGACTCACCCCCATGTACCTAAAAAATGACAGTACATTGCAAGGGTCAGCGGAAGCCGATATGAGGCTGCTAACATCCCACCCCCAATCTCGTGACAGTTTTAGACCTTGCCCTGGTTATCAAGAGGTATCTGCTGGCTTTGCAAGATGAGATAAAATAGTACGTTGCTATAGGGATCGCTTTAGCTAAACGCTGAAAACCGATAGGATTATAGTAAAGACTAACCGATGTGTTTGAAGTGTATAAATTTGTGATATATGCTGTGTAGGTTTTGTACAGGATTTGATATCCCTCTGTGTTCTTACTGCAGTCACACCACTACTAGTGTGATCATTTGACTGGTCACCCCAGCTCTGGACCTTTATGTCTGAAATGACGTGGGGAGCTAGAAATTTAGACCGTTCTTAAAGAAGCAAGTTGGTTTCCAAGTAGAAAGTCCCCAACACGTTTGAATTGTTTTTTCCTGACAATCCACTCCAGGCTGCAGTCATCCCTGCTGTTGTGCACCTTTTTCTTCCACACTTTCCCTTCCACATAACTTTCCATTAATGTGCTTTGATACAGCACTTTGGGAACATCCAACTTCTTCTGCAATCACCTTTTGAGGCTTTCCCTCCTTATGGAGGGTCTCAGTGATGGCTTTCTGCACATCTGTCAGGTCAGCAGCCTTCCCCATGATTGTGCTTCCTTCTGAACCAGACTGAAAGACCATTTCAAGGCTCAGGAACCCATTGCAGGTGTTATGGATTGAATAGCTACCGCACCTTTTTACAATATTCTGATTTTCTGAGTGAAATATACCCAGAGTTGAGTTTGGATTTTATGCTCTTTATTCAGCTCATAGTGGTGAGGAGGAATGGAAGTTCTCCCAGAATGTCTGCTTTATATACATTATTTACACAATGGGTCCCATGTGATTGCCCAATTCAGGGATTCTCCTGTCGGCCAATCAGGTTGCAGATTCCCTTCCACCTGGAGTTGGATTGGGTGGCTCCTGTGGACCAATCAGACTGCTGCATTCTGAATCCTATTGTTCTAGGACCAATCAGACTGCTGCATTTTGGATCCTATTCCACTCAGTGCATAACACTGAGATTGTTAATTTGGGGTTTTCATCAGCTGTACGCCATGATCATCGCAATGATAACAAATCAAGGCTTGACATATCTCGCTTTACATGTCATGAGTCTATCTCATATATTAGTTTCACTTTTTAAGTTGAATTACTGAAATAAATGAACTTTTCCACGATATTCTAATTTTTCGAGTTTCACCTGTAATTAGTGCATGAAGGGGTTAAGACCATAGAGTAAGCTGTCCTGCCAGACTTAGCTCACCTTGGGAGGGACCAGGTAATCAAGGCTTTGTTCCCTTCCAGTCTACCTGACTCAGCTAGGCAGGTTGCTCCAGCTTAGCCCTATGGATCTCACAAACTGTTCTTATGTTTCTATACAAACAATTCAGGAACATTCGCCACTAAGCCAAGTTTTATTGCCTGTGCAACTGTTTCTGAATGCTGTATGAAATCTTACCTTTGAAGAATTTGTAAGTAAACCATTCTTAACTTACCATCATGCGGTCTTTTCCTAGGCTGGGGGAAGAGGGAAGCATTGGCATTCACAAGGGCGTATTTTAAAGGTCTAACAGTCTATTCTTCCACATACGTATTTTGTGTACACACACACGGGTTGTTAGGGATGCGGGTG